TAGTCACAGATCGTCAAATTTTAAGGTCACAAACCAAATCGTTGAGGTTACAAATTATTGTTCATAGATTGTCAAATTTTAAGATCGCAGATCAAACTTTATGGTTATCCCTTCCACCGGTCCCATCCAGCACCAATCTTGGTCACAAACCACCACCATCCAATCGTTGATTGCACTATACCACCGCAATACCACACCCAATCCCGATCTAATTCCACCACAGCACTTGGTCACAAACACTATCCATCCCCACCATTGCACCCCTATCACGTCACAACAATCGGTCAACACCACAACACACCACCTGAGCCACCATCGCACAGTACCACACCACTATTGCACGCACCCAACCACCGCACCACCACCTCCATCTCCACTGCACACCTCACTACACCATAGCACCACCAACGCACATAGTTAAATTGGCCGCACACTTCTACCTCCACTGCACACCGTACGCCACCACTACCACCAAAATTGCACCATACACCACCTCCATATCAACAATAGCCATAACTGGAAATCCACCATTACAGTACCCACACACCATCGACCAACACAATACAATCACCAATACCACCTCAACACCACCACAACACCCAAAACCACCACTAGATTTCTCTACTACAGACAGTAAATTCACCACCACAGTCGCCACCACAAAAACCGCCATCACCAATTCACCACCAGGTCCACCACCACACAAAACACCGTCTAATCCACCACTATCTTCGTTGCTGTCAATGTGTTCAAGGCACTATAGTCTTCAGATCCACACAATTGCACAAGCAAAAGTAGTCACACATGCAGAAGAAGCAAAATGGGTCAGATCCAGCTGCAACGGCACTCATCCTCCTCATCGGCCACAACGGCGACATCGTCGCTCACGGTTTTAGAGGCGTCATCGTCCTCGGTGACCTACGGTGGTCTCTGATGAGGAGAGACGTGAGAGACAGAGAGAGCAAACACTCGTCCTCGACCACGACGGCGACACCGTCACTCACAGAGTGTTGCAGCTACGTCATCGTCTTCATCGAGTGGCGAGGTTGCGGTGGTCGCCGATGATGAGCTACGTGAGAGACAAATCGGCAGTTGAGAGAGGGTGAATTGAAATGGTTAGGGTTGGAATTGGGGGAAATATTTAATTATCATATTCATCCCAGATTTGTGAACAACAAAACTTCATACCAGATTTTTGCACTGTAAAGGTGAAACACCGGTGACTGTGTAATTTCCTCTTGGCGAAACCCATCTTAAAAACCCAGCATATGACCCATAAATCCCAATAACTCCCTTAGGGATGTAACAAAATGGGAAAGTGATCGATTGACTATTAGGAAATAATTTTGCTACATGTACATCATGTTTGACATTGTTGTAAGGTGACAATTTTTTATACATTAATTTCAACAACACTTTAAACAATTAATGACTCAGATTTTGACATCCTGAAATTTCAAACTTAACGTACACAAAGAGTGTACAAGTAGATTAATTCATTAGGGAAAGTGGACGAGTATGGAGATGTTGTGCTCTAACTACCTGCCTAGTGAGGATGAAATGAGGAAAGTGACATGGAGGTTGTAGGATCTTAAAATTAATAAAAGAAAGTCGTATGAGATCAATTACTTTTGTACACTTAAAAGCTTATACTTCAGCATCAAATTATCTTATATTATTTTCGTACTATTCTCTTCGTGTAGATCCATTGTAACAGAGCACATTAATATATTTTTTCATCAAACATCTTACCTTGGGGACTCATTCATTAAATCCGGCTGTTACATTTTTGTCTTGTTCGAATCCTAAATGCCATATGCTCTTAGTATACATCGAAATATAGTCATTGGACATCTCCTTTTGTCTTCTTCCATTCTGCCCCAACACCCTTTTTCCTCCTAAACAAATATTTGATCAATAACTGTAAACTAAATTACATCTTCATATACACACACAGAAACAAGCAGTCTCAATGGAGTTGATCACAAATGTTGATGATCCAGTTCTTGATAAGCTACAACTAGCTTGTTCTCATATCAAAACCCTTCTCCAGAATTCGACCAACCTCGAAAAAGGCTTGGAAAAAATGGATGAAAATTTCGATACCATACAAGAAAGCTTATCAATGGCATCAAGAAGAGTTGCACCTTTACAATCACTATCCATTGGGGCTAAATCTCTCGAAACTAGAATAAACCGAGCCATTTCTCCGGCTCTTGCTCTCCTCGAGAGCTTCAAACTCTCCGAGTCCCTCCAGCGTAAGCTTCTTGACACAGCCTCGAAATTGATTAATGAAAAAACATCCAAAAACAGGCTCAAGAAGTTGATCAAGTATGTGGCTTGCGTGGATGATTTGAACGTCGCCTTGACTTCCATAAGCCAAGAGAGTGAGCCAGCAATTCAAAAGCTGCAAGAAGTGGTTGAGTTTTTGAGCAGGACTAAAGCCACTGATCAGTACAGAACGCTTCGTTTTAGGGAGACTTTGATTACACTCAAAGCACTATACGAGACAGAGGTCGATTCAATGAGATTTGATGGGGTTCTTGATGAGGCTTTGCTGAATTTGCAAGATGAGTACGAGAGTTTGTTACAGCAGTTAAGGCATCAGAACATAGGGGATGATATGACTGAAATGATGCCTGAAAAATTGGGTACTGAGTTGGAGATCGAAGTTCTTAGACGAATTTCAGAGACACTGGCTGCCAATGATTGTCTGGATATTTGTATCGATATCTTCGTCAGGGTAAGAGCAATTGCTCAGCATATACTTATAATTCAAAGGCTCATGCAATTGCTCAGCATATACTTATAATTCAAAGGCTCATGCCTCTTTTTTTATTT